AGCCAGGAGACAGGACACAGGGCATGATCATGGAGACACACATTGCATGGAGTCCTGGTGGCTAGGCTGATCTGGACCTAAATAGGTCAGCACACAGGGCAGGTTCTCAGGAAATTCCCAGTCCCAGGCACTGGACTGACAGATTGAGTAACCTATTAGCCAAGTGCCTGCCCCTGCCTCCAGGGGTCCAGGCACTCCCATTACCTGGGAGGTAGGTGATGGGGGAGGGGTTTTCTATCCCCTCTCCTCCACTCCCCCCCCCATGAAGACAAGATGCCAACCCTACCTTTAACCATGTAGCCAATATGGTGCCAGCCAGACCTGGCCTCCTCACTTCACTTAGAATTGGGACAGCTCCTGAACAGGAATTGATCAGCATACATGAGATGACTAGTCTTCTGACATTGCAAAGATAGGGGTGGGATGAGCAAGCAGGTTTTTCCTCTCTGAAATGTATAGATATGTGAAAAACACTGCTGTCTGGGACATGGGAGCATGCTCAGCTCCATCCCAGGTCATTGAATACCTTCAATTAGCTGTGTGCATGAAGAAAATCTTAAGAAATACAATTCAAATTGGGAGCAGACTGTCCACCAGAGTTAACCCAATATGAGCAGAGAGGCAGGACTGGCTGTGTTAAGAGTAAATAGGGAAACAGGCTGGCTTCTGTCTGTGCTCCCTTGCCAAACTTTTGCTGGTGGGGCAGCCTTCTGCAAAGAAGTACAACTTGCCTTGTGAGGAAGCTAAAGAAAACAAAGAAATACAATTCATGTTATGTGGGTTGAGGCACACTAAGCTGACCCAGAGAATGTCATCATTAAAGGGGATTCCACAGAACCAGAGCAAGATGGCAGTCGAGGAAGATAGAACATGAAGATTGCCTAACCCAACAAAGAACAGATTAGAGTCATGGGTGTGGACCAGAGGATACTTCTCTAGTAGAACAAAACAACAGAGAAGGGTGTGTGAGAAAGTTGGAAGAAGCTGTCTCCCCTACCTATCATCAGCAATAATACCTCAGTATGGACCAGAAACCCTCTGACATTTCAAGGAGGAAGAGAATTAATGTTAAATCTCAGCATCATCCCCATATACAGAGAGCAGTGCTGGGGAAGTGCTTATAGTCTCTACTCTTGGGTCCAGACCTTTAGATTGTGCCTCTGGAACTGGTTTAGGACAAGGAAGGAAGAAACTGCTGCAACCCCCCTCCTCCAATCTTGTGAACAACAGCAGGTATGGGATAAAACCTCCCAGTGAGCAGGGCATAAGAGTGGGTCAGGGTTTTTTCTTAGAACCCTGTGTCAAGCATGTCATGGTTGAATCAATAATCCAGAATAAACTAGAGGCACTGTTTGAACCCCGATCCTCAGATCTCAGCCTCCTAAGCAGCTAAGAATTCAGGCATTAGCCACTGGTGCCCAGCTTGTGGCTTTCTTTACAAATCTTACCATGCTGCTCTGGCTCAGCATAATTCTCCATCCCCCTTGTCATAGGTTGGATGGGGAAGTAAGATGGTGATATTGTCCCACAGCTTAGTGTGGGCCAGGTGATAGCACTAAAACCTTGTCATGACCCCATAGCCAGGCCAGCCTCTGGCAGAGCTCTATAATCACCTCAGTACCTGGGAAAGTCAACTGCCACCAGACAATCTGAATTCTATTCTAGCTATCTCTAATTGGGTATGATCCTAGCCTTCTTGGCATGTGAGTACACCTCTACCACATACAAACTGGGTGGATGGATCTTAGTGCTCAACCAGCACTGTCCTGGTCTTGATTGCAAAGGACTGAGGATGTCGTAATGAGGCAGAGTAGACTAGGGAAAATGAGGCCTGGTTAATGCTTGCCAGGAATTCAAAACTCAAGCTTGAAGCTTATACAACTACTTCTCTTAATATTAAGGGAACAAAGTAATTTACTGGAAAATGTAGTAGCAAAAATTAGGAGAAAATGAGGTATAGTAAGCTCACAGCACATAGAGAGCTATTCATTCATCCTTGGTACCTTAAGACTAAGGGACCAAAGTCATTGAGCAGAAAATGAAGCTGGATAAATTGAGGAAAATGAGTCCTGGTGAAGGCAACTCAGAAACATGATTTAGGAAAACAGAGGCACTATCTTTGCTTCAAAGAGAGACAATAGGATGCATGTCTTCCTGAGAATGCATTTCTCATCATAGGAATTTACAGTTGTCTGGCAGCATGTATGCCTTCTCCAAAAAATGATCTCCCAAAACATCAGCAACCTTCTAGCCAAAATATAGACAACAACATGCCTTCTTCAGATCAAGGGTAATCATCTCTTTTAGGGCAGGATGCTTTCTTTGCTGGAAAGAATTTCCAAAACTTACAGAAACTCAGAAAGTATAACACCAGGAGTGATTAGAACAAAGATGAAAAACCTATGTTTGCATAACTTTGAAGTGAGACCTCCAACCTTTACCATATAAATACCATTGGCAGCCCAAGAGCTGTGTATCTCTACTCTGTTAGAGTGTATCTTTGAATTTCTGTTTCCTGTTTGTTTACTTGTTTGCTTGTTTGTAAAAACAACTCTGCCACATTATCTTACCATTGTGACTTGCATAGAATTTCTTATTCTGAGATCAAAGTCAAGAACCCTAAGTGAAGAGTGCCTACTTTTCGAGGGAAACCTCATTAACCTTATCCAATTTTAGTGACCCTGCTGGTTGGTATTCCAGGTGTAATAGAGTTCTGGTTGCCACAGCTGTGACCAAGGTCTGTTCCAGAACAAAGATTTTGCCACTGCAATACAGAATCTCCTCAGATGGCTATTCCTAAGGCATATGGATACCCGCATGCTCCAAGAGGAGGATGCTGGGACCCTCGACTCAGTGGGGTTCTCTTGAGGTTTTTAGAACCACAGAGTATTTGTCACCCAACTTGCCTTTGGTTTTCTCTGCTACTGAAGTGGTTTATCACCTCACAGCTGACTTTCCTCAAGGCCTTTGCTCCCTCTAGTGGTGACATTGTGGAAGTCGCTACAGACTCAGGAACCCTGAAGCCTGCCTGGAATTTCTGGAACTACAGGCCCAAAGCCAGTCTAATTCTGAGACATTTCAAAGGCCAGATGGTATCACATGTCCAATATGAATCAAAAATGTTCCAGAACAATGAGTTCTCCTAGGATTCAATATAATCAGTTCGGAGAAATTCTCATAGACAGAATCTCAGTTCTCATGGTTGTTTTTGATGTCCTCTTGTACAATGTAACTCAGAGGTTTGACAGCTAGAATGTCAGTAATACTAAACATTAATTGTGAACTGGTGGCTCAGGCCTTTAATTATGGCTTCTAATGAGGATGAGATCAGAGAATTATGTTTTGTAGTCACTTTGGGCAGGAATGTCTGTGAGACTGTTATGTACAATTAAACACACAGAAACTGGTAGCAGAGCTGTGGATCAAGGGGTAGAGTGCCAGTCATGAGAGAAAATAAAGCTAAGGGGAAGCTCTCAGTACTTGAGTTCACTCCTGTGTACAAGAGCATGTGTGAACACACACACACACACACACACACACACACACACAGCTCAATTAGAGAATGGACAGAGCAAAAGATAGCTCTGACATCTCCTGTCTCCCCTGGGGGTACATTTCTAATGCTGGGTTTACACATTAGCCCTATCTGACTCGCTGACTTCCACACCATATTCAGCTGGCTTCAATATCCCTCACAAATCTCTCATGGAATAAAGTATTCCTGTCCTGAATAAAGCCCATACAGGGTGTCTCCACACAAGTTGTTGAGAAGATTCATCTGTGACTTCCTAGTTTACTGAGAATTCTGTAGATCTGAAAGTAGTGAGCTCACCTGGGTCAATCACATGAATCAAAGAGTGCATAAAACACATGAAAAAGCCAGGTGCCGGTGGCTCATGCTTGTAATCCTAGTTACTAAGGAGGCTGTGATCTGAAGATGGAAGTTCAAAGGCAGCCTGGGCAGAAAGGTCAGTGAGACTCTTAACTCAAATAAACTACTAGAAAACTGGAAGTGGCACTGTGCCTGAAGTGGTAGAGACCTAGCTTTGAGCTAAAGAGCTCAGAGACAGCACCAGGACCTACAGTTCAAGCCCCCATAACAACAAAAAAACAAAGCTAATGAAAAAAATATTCAAATATATTTTAGGAATTTTTGAGCAAGGGGAAAATAGATAAGCCTGGGTAGGTGTCAGAGAACAAGGAACACAACCAGAGCTTCTGGAAATGACGTAGTAGACACACTCACACATGGACAGCAGGCCAGGGGTTCATTTACATAGATAAGGGGAAAAAATCAAACCTGTCACAGATCTCTTATTCCTGATCTCACCAGCAACTCCCCATTCCCAGAACTTTGTTGACATGAAATAACCCCAGAAGCAAAAACTGCATGTCTAGCCTAAGAAATGTTGCCCTGAAGGAGGTCCAAAAAGTAAAAGGACAGAATTGATTGAAGATTCCCGTGCCTTTGACCTATGAACAGGGACATTGTGCTTTGGCGTGTTAGTATGGACTGTTGGTCACCCAAATGACCCTGAACCAGGACAGTTCAGGCTGGAGGAGTCACAATGATGGTGGGATTGTTGGGACAGCCCTGGGAAATGGGAGTGGAATGGAAGACAGACTGAGACCTCTCTACCCCTTGGGAGGCTGAAAAATATTCATCAGGAAAATCTGAAATAAAGTAGAGCTGTTGGGGTGAGGACAATGTATAAGATCCAGAGAACATTAGTGGATGCATCCGAAATCTCCCCAACTGCTTTTTTTTTTTTTGTGAGAATACCGTACAGAGGACTTATAATTACATGGGGAAGATAGTGAGTATATTTCTTATCAAGCATTGTTGCCTCCTCCTTTGTTTCGCCATACTATCCCTTCCACTCTTCACCTGCCACCTCCACTCCCCCCTACAACCCCCGGTCCCCCACCACTCACCTCGCCAAAGTTATAAATAACCAAACAAAAATGCAAATTTTAAGAAAACCCAAGAAATCACTTACTGAATGCTCTGTTGCTGCACGACAGGGTCATTAATATTCTGAACCAATTCCCAAGAATAAAAGGGGAAAAACCCTGCAATCACCACATCTCCCCTGCTGTGTGCCACAGATTTCTCTGTGCAAATGTGTTGGTCATCTTCAGAGGAACATATCACAAGCAGAAGCTCAGGGATAAGCAGGGTCAGAGCCACAGGGAACATTGCTGCTGCTTTGGCCTGGAGCTGTGATTCTGGATGCAGACTGAGCCTGCAGTGTCAGATGGGTGTCTAAATGAATCTTCAGTTTTGTGGCTTATTGTTATCTGGATGGTCACTGGGATGCACCATAGGCCTCCTCCACTGTCATAGAGGAATATAGAGCCCTTTCTGCCCTCTAGCTCAGCATCTGGTGTCTGGCTTCAAGATCAAAACACAAGTTGAAAAACATGTGTACTGTCTTCTTTTCTACACCCTCAGGACTGTGATTTAATCCAAGGCTGTAGATAATGAAACTCCAGGGATGGATTCTTTTCTTGTTGAGTTGTTCACAAAATTGTGTGAAAGCAAAAAGTTGAAAAGAAAGTAATCCTACAAGTTAAAGTCGCATAGGAAAGCCATTAGAGATGATGGGAATAGATAACACCAAAGGATGCCAGGTGAACGACAAAGGGCATAGATTACCATGGTCAGCAAAGGCACCATCAGAGTTATTGGAACACGATCAACGATGAGGATGGGCAGACTCACAAACCCAGGGCCAAGAGAGCCACAGAAGCTTAGTAAATGACCCATTCAACTTTCCATACCAACTCCATATGCAGAAGCATCCAGAAGTCAATGAAATTATTTATTCCTGCAGGTGTTACCAACAGTCTCAGTGAATTCAACCAATAGAGTTCAATACTTCAAGGTCAGGGCACACATCCAATTAGACTTCTTCATGTTCTGAAACTTGAACTTCTTCAGTGCTTAAATGCCTTTGACCAACAGAATGCATCTGTAAATAAACTGTGGGTATCCACTGCTAAACAGGGATGTTCTATGATCTATGACTTTCTGGGAACCTAGCAGGCCTATCCACTAAGGATCGTGGAAGCTGTGGGTATATGGATGGGTCTTGTTCTGCTGTGTGTCTACTTCATGTTCCAGGTGCTGGGGGAATTATTGTATCCCATTTGGACAGGAATGTGGTCCCTGCTCTGTCCATGTCTCCCTACCTGTCTCCTCTATTTGTTCCTCATAATAGAAGGTCACAGCAAAGGTTCCTGCTCCCCACTTACTACACCATGGTGGCTGGTTCTGTGATTTGACTCCATATGTTGGAAAAGTAAGGATGCACATGCTATTTGGTGTTGGTAGCCAGCAAGACCTTGCAAGAGGGCCAGAGCTGGGGCCTAGCCTGACTTGGATTCTGAGGTAGAAATCCTTGTTGCTTCCTGTACCCAGGATTACAGGTATGAGCCTCCCGAGCCTGGCTCAGAAGACAAACTTTTACTCTGTTCTCCTCATCTATTACTCTATTTCTGTTAAATCTGCCCAGGAGAACAGCTCCTCTCGACTTCCTCTTCACCTACCTGAAACCAGTAGTCACCTGTCAATCATGTGACTGTGAGTCAGCAAAGGACCCCACACTCTCGGGTCACTTCTTCATCTGCTGAGGTCACTTCCTGAAGTATCCTGGTCCCAACTCCCTCTGCAATTGAGAGGTTCTCCAGGCTCTGAGGTCACTTCCGCATCTGCTGTGGTCCTGGCTCAACAGAAGTCCCCTTTTCTCTCTTTCTCTTTTCCTCTTTTTTGTTTTCCTCTGTCTTCCCCACGGGCTTCCATTTCCTGTGTGGGGCCAGTTTGCTTTATCTGCCTGAACCATGTGTCATATTTCCTTTCTGGCAATCCTTAAAATATCTACTTCATTGTCATTGATAACTACTCTATTACTCTAAACCTTCTTCTCCCTACATTTCAAAAATGAGAGAAATCTAGGGTGTCTGTATTTGGTGATAATACATGTATCTGTCTGTCTGTCCGTCTGTCTGTCTGTCTGTCTGTCTGTCTGTCTGTTTGTATTGTAAAGGTGATGGGCAGATGAGTTATCTTTATGTAAGTCAGGGAATGAGTACATTTCTGTTTTCACAATGTTATCCAGTTTTTCCCTCCCTTCCCTACCCACTGGTTATATGCTTAATTTTTCACACAGTGTCCAGTATATACCACTGATGCAGTTATCAGGGTGATTTACTGAACAATGATATCCACTTCCTCCCATATTTCTGACTCAAATATATAATTACATGCTCAAGACTCCATTGTGTCTGTGTAACTTAATTTCCTTTTTCTATTCATGGGTTGATTGGAACAGACCCTGGATCAGGAATTCAACTTCTAAGTAGTGTCATGATAAAAACTTGTCATATGTAAACATAGACATAACAAGCACCCATACTAGTGTGTGTGGGTAGTGTGCATATATTATATCTTTTCTCATATTACATTACCAATGGTGTTACAACTTCTTTTGGCCATATCCTCACCTGCATATGTTATTATTAATTTTATTGGTAATTTACCAAATTGTTTAATATCAATTATTTTATAAGGAGCTCTGTTTTATGAAACTCAAGACCTAATCAGACCATATGCAACTTGAACATTTTGTGGTTAGAAAGAGTGAAGACAATTTTTGCTTCTCAAATCATTTTTTATCCAAATGAAACCAACTTATTTCCTCAATTCCCATTCTCAAGGCTTTTATTTACTAATTTCCCTCTTCCTTTACATTTCATTATTTCCTTACAGAGATTGTTTGTTTTGTCAGACATGGGGCTTGAAATCAGGGCTTGGGTACTGTCCCTCAGCTCTTCATCTCAAGGAGTGTGCTCTACCACTTCAGCTGCAGCACCACTTTTCCTTTTCTTGTGGTTTATTAGAGAGAAAAATCTCATGGACTTTCCTGCCTGGGCTGGCTTTGAACCCTGACCCTCAGGTCTCAGCATCCTGAGTAGCTAGGATAACAGGCGGGAATGAACAGCACCTGGTTTTCTTACTAAATTTTTAAAAATTGGTTTTTAAATTAAGTCTTTGAAACATTTGATCTCAAAATGACATTTTAAAAATATAAAGTAATTACCCTTAGACAAACTGGTTGTAAATTGATATTTCACATTTTATTTTAAAGTAGGGAAAACAGGAGAATCACATGTAGACTGACATTGCACTGAGTCCAAACTTAACAAACTTGAGGGATCTCAGACCATTTCTTTTGCTGTTTTCAAATTGCATCACTTTACATATCACTCTTCTAACTTTCATCAGGTAATATTTGAAGGAAAACAACTTTTAGGTAGAAACAGTCATACATCGGCCTTTTAGCATGTAAAGAATTGAGCAATAGCTTGAAACTGGTGGCTCCAGCAGTGGCTCAAGCCTGTAATCCCAGCTGCTCAAGAGGCTGAGATCTGAGGATGTAGGTTCAAAGCCAGCCTGGGCAAGAAACTCAGGAGAATCTTATTTCCAATAAGCCACTCAGAAAACCCAAAGTGGCCCTGTGGCTTAAGTTGTCAAATGCTTACCTTGAGCTGAAGAGCTTAGGGACAGCACCTAGGCCCAGAGTTGAAACCCCATGACAGAAAAAAAAAAGACCTGAGCAAAATAAATTAGATTTTACATTGAAGAAAATATCTAATCAAAGGCAGAATTTTTTTTTAATTTTTTTTTGCTGGTCATGGTGCCTGAACTCAAGGCCTGGGTGCTGTCCCTCAGCAATTCAAGTCAAGGATAGCACTCTATCACTTGAGCCACAGGATCACTTCCAGATTTTTCTGCTTATGTGGTGCTGAGGAATTGAACCCAAGGCCTCATGCATGTAAGGCAAGCACTCTACCACTGAACCATCTTCCCAATTTTAACATAGGTGCTATTATTTTTCTTTGTCCCTTATGGGTAATCACAATGGTAAAAATATATATGTAGAGCAAATTGTACATTATCTATCTGAACCATATCTAAAAGAAAATAGAAAATCTTAACACACATTCCATGATTATTTTACCAAAGGAATATTGGGGAGAAAAAGAAGGCAAATATGAATTTGGATGGGTTAGTATAAGTGAAGAAAATAAGTGAAAAAAAAAAAAGAAATCCATAAAACTCAAGCCAATATTCTTACTTTTGTATGTTCTCAAAGCCAATTAGAGAATTTCTACCTCCTATCCCTATGGCTGGTGGAAGCTACCAATAAGTTGCCAAGAGACTTCCAGATCGCAGTATCCAATTTTGGTTGGTATGTAAGCCATTCACCACCTGTTATACTTGAAGTGCGGCTTGTGCCTCTGGAAGTTTCCACATCCACCATACAGGCCAACCAACCTAGGGCGCAGGCCTCACCGGGTGCATCAGGCTTCCCCTGACATGAGAACCATCATGTCCGAGCTGCCCAGCCCCTCTGCATGATTTGACACCTCTTGTGGAAGATGAGGATCAAGATCCTGCTCTGGGAGGCGAAGGATTCTCCCACCATACCATGGGGCATGGAGCAGTGATCATCATCAGGAAGGAGACATGGGCCATCAAGTGAGGGACTGCACCTGGCTCTGGAATACCACAGGACCTTGCCCTTGTCTGGGCGTGGTTTCAGCAGCAACAAGTGGAAGATCCTGAGCAGAAGGCCCAGAGGGCATGTGCAGTATCCATAGCCTATTCATGCTATTCCGGCCCATCTCCGTGTTGGGGTGCTACACATGCCATGGGTGGCTTCTCTTTTCTTTTTTTTCTTTTGCTCACGCAGATTGGGTGGGTTTTTAATGAAAGATTATGTGGCTTTAATATATTGGTTATTTTTTCTCTCCCCCACCCTTTTTTATTTCCTGGTATGTTTTGTGCCTTTGGCATCATTGGGATTACCCACAGTGGCATACACAGACCATCGAAGAAAACACATCACTTGCTCTAAAAAAAATTAAATACAGGGCTGGGAAGGTGGCTCAGTGGTACAGTGCTTGCTTTGCATGCTCGAGGCCCTGGGTTCGATTCCTCAGCACCACATGAGCAAAAAAGAAAAAACCGGAAGTGGTACTGTGGCTCAGGTGGTAGAGTGCTAGCCTTGAGCTGAAGAGCTGAGGGACAGTGCCCAGGCCCAGAGTTCAGGCCCCACGACCGGACCAAAAAAAAAAAAAATTAAATACAGAATTGACTATTCTCAGAGTTGTGTGGAGGAAAGAAAAGGGAATTAAAATTCAATTTATGGAAAAAATTGTGTGTGTGTGTGTGTGTGTGTGTGTGTGTGTGTGTGTATACCAGCCCTGGAATTGAGGGCTCCAAGCTCCCTTTCTTGACTTTCTTATTCACAAGTGGCATTTTACCATTTGAAAAATATGTCCAGTCACACATTTTAACTTGGTCGTTAAAGATGGAGTCTCATAGACTTTTCTGTCCAGGCTAGTTTTGAACTGTGATCCTCAGATCCAAGCCTTCTAAGGGAGTCATTGGTATCTGACTTGAACAAAATTACATGGATAATATTGAAATTAATAATGAATTTGATAATAGATTTACACAAAAATGTGAAAATTTAATACATATTACTCAAGGTTTTAGTCAGTATTTTAAAACAGTAACACTTTTTCTTTATTTAGATTAATTACATAAATTTGACAGTTTTGTGGAATAGTGATACTAGGCTAAATTCACTAACACATTTTATCCTTCACAATGCATCTTATCATTGTCTTGATCTACAAATCTTATGAACAATTCAGACTTTAACAATAAAGTTGTTTCTTCCAAATCGGGTGATATGTACATTTCTTTCCTTTTGCTCAGTATCAGCGGTTTCCTCTTTCTCTCTCATTCCCTCCCTCCCATCATCACCCTTGAGTTGCTTCGTTCACTTTCATCAATGACCAGTGCCACTGATGGAACCCTCTGCTGTATTTTTTCACCCATTTTCTTCAACTTCTTTTTCTTTTTTTTTGTGAAAATACTGTACAGAAGAGTTACAATTACATGGGCAAGATAATGAGTACATTTCTTATCAAGGATTGTTGCCTTATTTTCCCCTTCCCATCCCTTCCATCTTCCCCTACCTCCCCAACTCTCTGTCCCCCCCAACCCCGCCAAAGCTATAAAGTTCATTTTTTGACATAATGACTTGCAATGGTCCACCTGTATCCCTATCTAAATGACTTGTTTTTTCCTTCCCCTCCACAAATTATACCAACATCAAATACAGTGAAAGCAGGGGTTATATCATGGGAGAGGAGCCTATAAAGCAACAAGGAAAACATCTTATAAATATGTTAGAAACAACCGCATGAAAGAAAAAAATCATTTGAATACTTACCTTGGGG